GCCCGGTTCGGTGGGGCCCTGCAGGCCCCCGCTGGGGCACGCGAGGGCTCCCCAGAAGGGGCCCCTTCTCGGCTGCCCCTTGCGGCCCCCCCCCCGTTTTATCGCCCCCCCGTTCGGTGGGCCCTGCAGGCCACCGCTGGGGCACGACAGGGGCTCCCCAGAAAGGGCCCCTTCTCGGCTGCCCCTGCGGCCCCCCCCCCCGTTGATCGCCCCCCCCCTTACGTTCCCCCCAGCCACCCTCGCCGACCCACGACTCCAGCAGCTCGAGGGGCAGCGGGGGCAGGGTTCGGATCTCGTCGAGCGCGCGGCGAGATGTGAGTCCTACCCCGTCCTCCCATCGATCTGGGAGAACCGATGGTTGAGGGGGGCAGGGTCCGGACGTCGCCACTTGAACACGGTCGTCGGCGAGCGAGGGGTGGAAGCGAGAAGGAGAAGGCCTTCTCAAAGGCGGCGGGGCTTCTCATAAGCCCTCGGGGGCTTGTGAAAGTTTTCGGTGTCGCCGGGGAAGGGGCCCGAGGCCTCCTGAGCCTTCTGAGAACGCCCTCCCCTTCTCGCTCCCAACTAGGCTCGCCGCCGAGTACCCGACGTGGAAGAAGCAGTTGGCCGGGTCGTAGCCGTGCCCGACGCGGCAGCTGCCGTCGCCCGCGCCGAAGTTCGCAACGACCCGCGACAGGCCTGACAGAACCAGAGCGCAGGCTGCAGAAGCATCAGGCTGGCGGAGCTCCGCGGGACTTTCTAAGATCAGTGCTGTGCCCCCCTGGCCCCTGGCGCGCTCCGAGCGCCAGGGAGGGTCCAGCGCCGCTCCAGGAACTCTTGGCGGAACTCCGGGAGCCTATGTCTATGCAGTGGCGTTCTGCCTCTGGGCCTGCGGGGTGCCGTGCCGCAAAGCCATCGCCGTTCTCCAGGACCTCCAGCAGGGAGATCATGCCCAAGTGCCTTGAGGGGCCGACTTTCCACCACCACTACCATATGTAGGACAGGGGAGAAGGGAGGATGAGGTCCTCCTCCTGCTCTCCTCCTCCTCCTCCTCCTCCTCCTCCTCCTCCTCCTCCTCCTCCTCCTCCTCCTCCTCCTCCTCCTCCTCCTCTCTCGTACTTATCACTGCACCGACCTGGCAGACGTGCTACACAGGATTTTTGCGTGGATTTCTGTCAATGCAAAACAACGAGATGGCGAGCGACAAACGAAGTGAATTTCACGTGGATTTCTTTCAGTCTTCATTCCTGACCCCAAAAAAAGCGCGCGAGACTTCGAAATCCGGAGCGAGATTCTCCAGGACACTCTGTGCCCATCCGGCGCTGTCTTCCGAGCGGAATCCGCTCTGCGATGTTGGCGCCATGATACATATGGTAGCGGTGGTGGAAAATGGGCCCATCGAGCCTGGTCCTCAGGTTCGTGACGTCCACCCACGTGATGTCCCCGAACGCCTCGAGGGGAGAGAAAAATGGCAGAAACATGAAAACTCGGAGGTCCGCGCGGACTTCTTGGCTCCGCGCTGGACCCCCCTCCCTGGCGCGCGGAGCGCGCCAGGGGTGGCGCAGGAGGCGCCGCCAGGGGGCCCCAGCGCGGATCCGAGACATCCGCGCGGACCTCCGAGCTTGTGTATGCTTCCGCCACTCTCTTCCTTCCCCCCGAGCCTCGCCCCCGTACAGCGGCACGCCGCCCTCGCTGCCTGCCAGCTCGCAGGTGCGCCCCGGGCTGAGGGCTGCCGGGTACAGCGGCGGCGGGTAGCCCCCGGCCGCGGGCACCTTCAGCTGGTTGATCCTCTCGGCCCGCTCCTCGGTCCGCCCCTCCTCCGGGTGGGGCGAGGGACAAGCTGGGGGGGGGGGGTGGACCCGCTCCGAGGGGGAGCGTCGACGGGGCGTCGGCGACGCCTCGCGGATACCTCTTGGGGGAACGAAACATGACACAAACACAAAACAAATCTCGGAAACACACAAACACAAACAGACACAAACAGAAACAGACACACAAACACATGAAAAATGACAAACACAAACAGACACAAAACACAACACAAACAAACACACAACATCTGGGGGAACGAAACATGGCACAAACACAAAACAAAACTCGGAGGTCCGGAGGTCCGCGCAGATTCCTCGCATCCGCGCTGGACCCCCCCTGCATGGCGGCGCCTCCGGCGCCGCCCCTGGCGCGCTCCGCGCGCCAGGGAGGGTCCAGCGCCGATCCGAGAGATCCGCGCGGACCCCCGAGTTTCTATGTTTGTGTCATTGTTCGTTCCCCTAGCATTGGCGACAGGACCTGGATATAGCGACTCCGCCTGCTCATGGGCGGGTTGGGCCATCGGGCCCCGCTCGGCGACGAGTCGGCGAGTGGGGGCCGATGCCCAGAGATCCGATGTGATGATTGTTTCACTACGGGGCCCCCAGCAATCCTGACCTGTTCCCTTTGAGCCGACTTCCCATCCCGAGTCGTTTTTCCACGGTCCCGGGGTCCGGCGAGGACCCCAGAGGCCGAAAACGACAAACAGTTTCCCCGTCGTGGCTTTTCTCACGGCGCGAGCATGTCTGGGTACATTCCCCTCCCCTTGGCCCCCCCCCCCGCCCTCTTGGATCGCCGCTGGGGTTGCTCAGTGGCTAGGCGGGGCTATACGCGGATACCAAGGTGTGGCATATCTGGCCCAACCTGGCTTAGAGGTGTGTTACAAGTGCCCTACGTGGCCGAGGGGGCTCTGCATAATTCCGTCAATTGGGCTCCGCCCACTTAGCCAGGACATTTCATTCGCAACCCACTCCTGAGCAAAATTGGGCCAGATACAGCCCACCTTGGCATCCGCGCTGATACCCCCCCCTCCGCTTAGCAACACACGTGGCGATCCAAACCAGAGCGCATTTTTGATTCGCGGCCACAAGGGCCGTGATGGGGGGAAGGGGGAGACGGGGTTTGGCCCAGCGTGGCCCCCCCCCCCCCCACATCTCCCTCCCAGACTATGGTGCCAGATGCACTGTGCTGGGGAGGGGGAAAGGGGGAGGGTGGGGTGGGAACATAACGCGCGTGATGGCCCAGAGGGTAGCAGAAGCACTCTCCACGTAACGTTGCCCCCATGGTCTGGTCCTCCTCCTCCATGAAGGGCCCCACCGCGAGCGAGTACGCCGCGTCCGCCCAGCGCCACGCGGCCTCGCCGCAGGTGCGCACCGCCTGCGTGGCGCCCCCGGGAGCGGCTGCTCTGGAAGAGGGGACAGCTGCAGCAAGCATTACGGGCGGCGTTGGAACACTGGCGTGCGATGTTCGGCGGCGAGCAAAAGGAGGGGGGAAGTGAGAAGGAGAAGGCCTTCTTGGAAGGCCCGGGAGGACCCCAGCCTTCCGAGAAGCTCTCTAAGCCTTCCCCGAAGGCACAGACAACTTCTCAGACGGCGCCATCAGGGCTTCTGAGAAGTCCCGCCGCCTTCCGAGAAGGCCTTCTCCTGCTCGCTTCCCCCCCCCTCGTTCGCCGCCGAGATGTGGCCCGTCCAGCCCCCTTATTACACGCTAGCCCCAACCTGGGGCATACAGAGCACCGAAGAAGCCCTGGCATGGTGACGGCGTGCACAGGAGGGGCCTTCGCGGGGGAATCGCCTCAGAGGGACAGCGTGCATTTCGGAGATCGACGTTGCACATCGCCTTTCCTGGGCGAACTGTAAGCTGTCGGACCCGGACCAAAGACCGCCTCGCGACGTGAAAAACACATCACGGACGGTTGCTCGCTTGGTGTGTGCTTCTGGGCCCTACACGGGGCCTCGGGACCATCAAAAAACGACGCAGGAGGTCCCCAGAAGAGGCCCAGACCTCTGGTCGGGGGGCGGCCAAGAGGGGGGCGTCCAAGAGGGGGGGCATAATGAAACAAGAAGAGGCGCCATCAAATCTGGGGAGATATCATGGCGCCCGCCATGACTCCCCTCCCCTAATCATCACCCCCCTCTTGGCCGCCCCCGATCTGGGGGTCCACGTTGGAGAATCCTGCAAGATCCTGCACCCAAACCCGGGCCAACGCGAAGGATCCTGCAAGATCCTGCAGGAGCCTGCACCCAAACCCGGGTCAATGCGACCCCGGCCCAGCAAGATCCTGCAAGACCGGGCTCTCTGGCTGACCCCCGTTTGCATGGACCCCCGTCTCAAGGCTCCCGCATCCGGGGAGATCTCATGGCCCCGGCCATGACATCCATCCCCGCTGAGCGTCATCCTTCTCTGGGACGCCCCCAGATGCCCTGCTCCTTGGCCCTCCAGACGGGGCCTGGGGAGGTCCGCGTGGCCTTCTTGGATGCCGCGGGCATCGTTCGACCGAGCCCTCCGCCCCCTCTGGCGCGGCCTCGGCCCCGCTGGCCGACGTGCCCACCCCGGCGGGGATAGGCCGAGGCCCGTTCCTGCTTCCTCGGGCTCCGCGGGGCCCACCCCCAGCTGGGGGGGTGGGCGAGCTCGGCTGGGATGCGTGGCCAGGTGGGGGCGCGGGGACGGGTCAGATGATGGGCCCATGTTCAATCACCGCTACCAGGAGTAGGAGAGGAGGAGGAGGAGGAGGAGGAGGAGGAGGAGGAGGAGGAGGAGGAGGGAGAGGAGGAGGAGGAGGAGGAGGAGGAGGAGGAGGAGGAGGAGGGGGAGGGGGAGGAGGAGGAGGAGGGGGAGGAGGAGGAGGAGGAGGAGGAGGAGGAGGAGGGGGAGGAGGAGGAGGAGGAGGAGGAGGAGGAGGAGGAGGAGGAGGAGGAGGAGGGGAGGAGGGGGAGGAGGGGGAGGAGGAGGAGGAGGAGGAAAAGGCCGAGGAGGAGGAGGAGGAGGAGCAGGAGGAGGAGGAGGAGGAGGAGGAGGAGGAGGAGGAGGAGGAGGGGGGACCTCCTCATCCTCCCTTCTCCCCCGTCCTGAATATGGTAGCGGTGGTGGAAATCTCTCGTCAGACGATGCTGACGATCGGCGCTGGCCCGCCCCCCCCCCCTGGCGCGCAACGCGCGCCAGGGGCGGCGGCCGAGGCGCCGCACGAGGGGACCTGGTTCGAGAGATCCGCGCGGACCTCCGCGAGGGCAATGCTTAGGTCGGGCATGTCCTCTTACAATCATGTTGTTCCCATCATTCTCAAGGACGACATCCCAGAAACAATTTCGAGCACCCAGACAAGTATCGAAACAGCGTCGAACGAGTATCGCCTCCCAGGGCCCGACACGTGAAACCCTCCAGTTTCGGTACTTTCTTGGTGCCAGAAAGTCGTCCTGGTGACACGGCTATAGTAGGTTGAAACATCATAATGATACACAGGATTTTTGGAAGAACGTTACACCACATTCACAACATAAGCAAACACAGCCAGCAGAGCACGAACATCCTCCCCATAGTATTGCTGGACTAAGCTACTCTTGAGTATTCCTCTGGTAGAGGGACATGCCCGACTCAAGGTCATGCTTATCTGCAGCCTTGCTCCTCTTCGGGTTCTCGGCCGCCGAGGCACGAGCGCGCGACGTCCGCGGCAAGGGCGGGGTCGCCGCCTGCGGGGGAGGCCAAGTCCAGCTGGAGCCCCAGCAGAGGGAGCGCCCGTGCTTCAGCCGGGCTCGCTTCAGCAGAGCTCGGCGCCGCCCTCGGGGTGGCCAAGCCCAGCTGGAGCCCCAGCAGATGCAGCGCCCTGGCTCCAGCTGGGCTTGCTCCGGCCGGACGTCCGCCCGAGAGGAGGCCCAGCCAAGCCAGAGTCCCAGCAGATGGAGAGCGCCCTTGGCCACGTCGCGAACCAATTTCAACCTCGCGAGGGTCACGACTGGAGCCCTGGACCCCATCTTCCTGCGCCCCCTTGAGCCGGATTGATCCGCGAGGGTCTGGGGGGGACCGAAACACGTCAACAGCGCCCGTTGTGACAAACTTGCAGCGGCCAGATTTTGACCCCCAAGAGGCCCCGCGACGACCGTTCAGCGCAAGAACGCCCCAAGGCGGCTCCAGACGCGCCGTAGGGATTCCAGCAAACCCCCAAGCAGCTCTGCAGACGCCCAGAGGAAGCGTCCCAAGGCCTCGTAAGGCCACCAAGAGTCACGCAAGGACTGGGCTCCACGTTTTCCCCACCTGCGCACGGAACACAGATTGCAGCGCCCGTTGTGACAAACTTGCAGGGCCCCAGACATGCGCGGCTTTGACCTTTTCAGTGCGCGGTCCCGACGCCCCGAAACTGTCAAAACCAAAACTGTCCGTCGTGATTTCTTGCTGCGACGCGCGCAGGTCTGGGGAAGGAACGCCTCGGCTCCAACTGGATGGCTTCCAGCTGGACTCACGGTTAAGTCGGGCGCGTCCCCCCCGCAGGGGGAGCTTGGACGAACAATCGAACAATTACCCAAACAAATAACCAGAGATGGTGGAAACGTGCTCGAACAATTGTCCCCAGACTGCTTCTCGACTATGCCTGCAGCTTCCCCCCTGTGCAGAGGGACACGCCCGACGGGAGCTCGACGGTCGGAAGCCGCTGCTCGGCGCGCCGCCGACGGCGGCCCCCGGCGGCACGCCGTGCCCGGAAAGAGCGTGCCGCCGCGCCGCTCCGCTCCGCGGGGCGAGGCGCGTCGGGCAGGAGGAGGAGGAGGAGGAGGAGGAGGAGGAGGAGGAGGAGGAGGAGGAGGAGAAGGAGGAGGAGGAGGGGGAGGAGGAGGAGGAGGCCCGGCACGCCGCGGCACCCACGCGTGGGCCAAGAAGGAAGTGGTCGGCGCGCCGCGCCGCGGCGCGGCGGGCCGGGGCCCGGCGGCGCGACAGGCTCTCGCCATCGCTCGGACGTGCAGTCCCTGTGCGTTGTTTTTTTTTGGTTTCGGGCGTGGCTTTTTGTTCGCCCAAGGATGAA